TTGTAAAGCGAATAAATGCAAATATGCATACCTCTATTTTATGCTGGACTTTTATGTTTTCTAAAGTCGCAAAATTTTAGTATTTTTGCATTTATTCCTTCATTTTTGTCGATAGCTTCATGAGATTTTGACAGAAGGTGTAAACCATGAAGCTCGCTTTATTTATGTAATAAAACATTTTTGACGCAAGTGTAGTTGCGGCCTTTTTACACGGGATGTGCGAAATGATTAACTTCACTTCGATAGGAAAGAACTCTGCGGCAAACCTAAGTTCATTCATAGATACCTTCGATAATTCATGGAAGGCAATCGAAGCGTTAAAAGTGGATAATTTAAGTGATTATTTAATTTGTCATTTAGCGTTACGTGGATTAGATACAACCACTAGAAAATTATTTGAAGATAGTCGCGATCAAAAGATACTTCCGTCATTCACTGAATTAATGAGTTTCGTAAACAATCAAATTAAGGTACTCGAACACACATTTCCTAATTCGTACTCCAGTCCCGTGGTACTGGAACGTAAACCCATAACAAAAAATCAAACAATGTACAATAATTATAAACCGCGTTCTTTATCGGAGAAGCAAGCTCTTACTACTTCATCGGTGTTGTCGAATAATAATATTAAACCGAATAATATTAATTCTAAATTTATTTGTCTTCATTGTAATCAAAATCATATGATTTATAGGTGTGAACAGTTTCGTAAACTGTCACCGGATGCCAGAATTGACCGTGTCAAGGCATTAAAGTTATGTACTAATTGTCTAAAGACAAACCATGATAATTTGTCTTGTAAAAGTGTAATGAATTGTGGTGTGTGTGCGTCACCACACCACTACTTATTACACAAGGATAGGTGGCATGTGTCGACCGTGTCGACGGCGTCCACTCCTTCTAATCTCGACTCTCCTTCGACTAGTTTACAGTCACAGCAAGTGCTAGTTGCCGCTCGTTCCGTGAGCGAGTCGGAAGCTGGTGCACAAGTACTACAAAGTACTGATAATAAACATAACTACAGCGTCGTGTTAGGTACAGCGCGATTGCATGTTAGAGATAAGTATGGTGAAAGTCAGGACTGCCGTACAGTGCTTGACTCTGGAGCACAGTGCTCTTTTATAACAACGGATTGTTTATTAAACGTTGAGCACGTTTAGGTCTTCCGCATAAACAGTGTCCTTATTCGATATATGGACTTGGGGGTGAGTCCTTGAAGAATTACGGAATGGTCACATGTACATTTTCATCGCGAAGTGTACATGAGCCTTATTTTACAGTAGATATGGTTGTAGTTAGTAAAGTATCGACTGATATGCCTAATGTTTCGTTCCCGTCAACCGTGATTGACGAATATAGGAATTTTAGTTTAGCGGATCCGTTTTATTATAAACGTTCCCGTGTAGATATCTTACTTGGTAATGACATAGTGTCGGAACTTATTAAAGATAAACCTTTATTAATTAAACCTAATATTCCTCAAGTGATTGAAACAGTATTTGGTTTTATTGTTAGTGGCAAATTGTGGGCTACTGATACTGATAATATTTTGAATTCTTATTTATGTTCCTCAACCAATGAAAAAACATCATCAGACATGACCTTACTTAAATTTTCAGAAATAGAATTAGTTTCCGTGGAACATAGAAAATGTCCTATTGATTTTATTAAGAATGACAATAAATGCACTGTAAAAGTTTTAGATCTATATTGGGTTCCGATATCAGGCAGGTTCAATATTACTCAAAATATCAAACATTATATAAACACAAAGCGATCTGTATTAAAATTATTAGCATCGATATATGATCCCGTGGGTTTTATATCGCATTGTTTATTTATGCCTAAGGAAATAATGAAAAATCTATGGAAGTTAAGAATAGTATGGGATGAACAGATGCCGGCATACATATGTAAACGTTGGACAGATTTTGTTACTCAATTGTCCTGTTTAACTGAAATTCTTATTGAACGCTACATGTTACTGCTTAATCAAGTAGAATGTGAATTAGTGGGATTTTGCGATGTATCTTCTCGGGATTATACCGCGTGTATTTATGCTGTAAGTCGAGATGATCAAGGGCGTGTTAAAGTACGAATAAGTCTAATGATGGCGAAATCTAAAGTGGCACCGATCAAGCCGTTGACTATTCCTCGTCTTCAGTTGATGGACGCCCTACAGCTGTGTAAATTAATTAAATATATAAATAGTAACTTAAATCGTATAAATTTTACTAGTGTGTATGCTTTTACTGATTCGACAATCGTATTGTCGTGGCTGCAAATTCATAAATTAAAATTATTTGTTTGTAACCGTGTTACACAAAAAATAAAAACTATACCGCCACATTGTTGGAGATTTATCAACAGTGCCTATAACATGGCTGACATTAGTTTTCGCGGCGCTATTCCGTTTCAGCTGGTAAACTATAGTACTAAATGGTTATCAGGTCCACATTGGTTTCGCGAAAATATTAGTAAATGGTCTGTTACATTGTTCGTGAACATTGACAAGTCAGTTTTATTAAAATTAAACCTAGATCTTAAAATTATACATCTTATCGGTACTAACTCTAATAAAGTAGCACAATATAAACTAGAATTCTTTATGGAAGAAAGTTTGTATTGTAACACAAAATCATACCGTACAGACATTGCTTTATTTGTATGCTTGTCGACAAGAGCGGTTAACCGTGAAACTCTATCTTCTTTATCAGCGGAATATTTCTTTTCTATGTTAAATAATTATGTCTCTCGTAGAGGCTTATGTGCTGTTATTTATTCCGACAGTAGTACAAATTTTATAGCTGGTAGTAAATATTTAAATGAAATTCAGAAATTTGTATCTGACCGTCAAACTCAAAATAAACTTATAGAGAGCTGTTCTAATCAATTTTTAATTTGGAAGTTTAATTCGCCTAATGCAGTAAATATGAATGGATTAGCCGAAGCTGATATTAAATCAATAAAATACCATTTTGTTAGAATTATAGGAGAGAAATTTTTAACGTTTGAGGAACTTTTCATAATATTTTGTAAAATAGAGACTATATTAAATTCTACGTCGCTATGTCCACTACCAGCGAATTATGATCCAGACGATTATAACGTTTTAACCGCGAGTCATTTTCTTAGAGATAAAAGTTTCGTTGTTATGTCAGAGTATACTGTTGAGGATGTTCCAATTAACAGATTGTCACGTTGGCAATATATACAGAAAGGTACGCAACTATTTAGGAAAAGATGGAAAGATTTAAATAATTTACAACGGGGAAAACGGTTCAAATCTATTGCTAATATTAAAATAGGAGAAATTATATTACTTAAAACCGATAACGTGTCTCCTTGCAACTGGTTAGCTCATATTGAATTACTTCGTCCTGGAGATGAGGGAATTATTAGATGTGTTACAATCCATACACAAAACCTCTTTAAAGACCAGTTAATAATAAACTGAGCCCCTTCCCTGTATTAATTAATTTTCCATTTCTTTTTCCTTATTATTATTGTACAGTTCCCTTTGCATTACTTCTTTAGTTAATGAATTTTATTTTACCTTTATACTAACTTGAAACCGTCAATACGGTTTCGGCCGGGGGTATGTTCCGTATTCCGAACCTCCTTAGTCTAAGCAGGTTGTGTCACCGGCTTGCTTACTGGAGCAAAGGGCGCTCGGTAATACTGGCCACATATAAAAACATGTGGCCACTTAAATTACAAACCTCAAATAATATAACCTATATTATTATAAAGTTTCATCATAATCCGTTTAGTAGTTTTTGCGTAAAACAGTAACAAACATCCATGCATCCATACTCACAAACCTTAACGTTTATAATATTTGTATAATTCTGTTTTGTGCACGATTCATACACTCTTGTTAACTCACAATTGGCCGCACAACATTATTCAAATGCGTCACATTTTTTCCGTTTTTGCTGTATTCTTAATTACTGATCCGCTCCTAGTCGTAATGATTTTATATTCAAAATAGGTTCAGCTAAAAGTATTTTCAAAATAGGTTCAGTAGATACATATATTCCACCCTGCCAGGTCTCAAGCTTTACCTTACTTTACATCCCTATAATAGTGTAGTAGGCTGATCCATAATTTTCACCACGGATAAGATAATATTACATGTTTCAGTAATATATATATACTATATATTGTTTATGCCTTTTCTTTACTGTGTGTTACAAATAAAGTATATTCTATCTATCTATCTATCTACTATTTATTGTGCATTATTAATTACACCTCACAGCGACACCTCATCATATCATATAGAACGCTACAGTGACGAGGTGATAACCACCGCGCTACATCTCCACAGAGTATAAGAAAGAACATCTAATCTATAACACTTTTATAAGTTACTAGCTACTCGCTTCGGCTTCGCAAGGGTGTACATGTATTATATATATAAACCTTCCTCTAGAATCACTCTATCTAAAAAAAAACTGCTTCTAAATCCATTGCGTAGTTTTAAAGATTTAAGCATACATAGGGACAGCATGTGTCGCATACACAGCGACAGCGACTTTATATTATACTATGTAATCATGATAGGTTGTTCAAGTAATCATTATACGACTCTAAATGCCTCGGATTGTATAATATCTATTTTATATTTACATTGTAATTTATGTGTGTAAGTACTGTGGGCCCAACTGAAAATTAGCGTTGGAAACTATGTTTCCAGCATTATCCTGAGTTATGGTCCATATTGACTCTGTTTTGTAATTTGTGTAAATTATTGGTTGTATTTTTTGTCATTATTGTTATGTCAAGACGAGAATAAACTTTTATTCCATTTTATAACTTAGCTTTCAATTGTACCTAACTCACTAACTAAAATTCGCTGTTTATATTCATTACATATAGGTAATGAAGTTGCGCGTGGTATCAACGAGTATATATGATAGATCAGTACAATCACAGATAGTCCTCGTTGACTCTACCAATAACATATCTTATCAGTACTCTAGTTTGATATACAGTACCATAGTGTGCACACGTATATTCAGTGTTTCTTTTATTGTAGTCCAATATATTTGTGAATCATCCAAGATGGGGTGTGGCGAATTCCTCGTCAAGTACATATTATTCTTCGTAAATCTATTCTTCGCTGTAAGTATGCAGTTTATATATTAGAATTAGATGTATTTGGAGTTTATTAAAACAACGCTTATCTCACGATAAGGATTTGGTACTTTTTTTAATCGCGAATGGTTTTATCAGACCGTAATTAGGCCTCTTCAGTGTCGGCACACGTTGATCTGTATATACTACTAATGGCCTATGAGCCAGTAGTAGTTCAATGTGACCATTTTTTTTAATGGATGATAATGGTATGGTTCACCCGCCTTTGCTATCGGTTTACGCTGGCGGGGCATGAGATGAGCATGAGGTCAGGTCAGTCAGCCCATATCATTTATCATAAATTCACCAGGCATTTATCACGATGGTTTCCTGGGAGAAGCACGTGGAGGCCAACCTGACATGGTATATTGCTAGCAATGGGGTTATTAGTCCATATTACTAACGATCCCCTTTCCCCAATGTGACCATTATTATGATCGTTAAGTTTGTATTATGAAGCCTAGTGACTATCAATTCATCATCGGTTTCGAGGGTGGATTAAGGAAGGAACCTCATAAACTGTACAAATATCATTTTATAATAGACAACGTCATCTAGTGAGCAGTAGAAAACCGCTTAAATTAAATTTCCTAAATAAGAACTTTAAAGGTATAATGCATAAGCTCTATTTTTATAAAACAAAAAATGATTGCGAGGGTCCAATCAAACCACTCTCGGAACTGCAGAAGTGGGAACTTCATATTACAACTATCTTTATCTTAGAAGTTTTCAACCAGGTAGAAATAATTATAATATGTTCGAGGCCTACTTATGGGAGTAAAAATTTAAATATTAACATTTGGAAGGAATTGTATGCAAAGACGCAATACTACGAGTTTTAGAAGAAGAAGAAGGTATACAAAATTGGTGTATCTTTAGTAACATACACGCGACGCGATTCTGCCGCCATCATCCTAAAACTCAAACAAAAAATCTTAAATTAGAAGAACATTCTAATGATAATTTCTTTATTTGCTTGCTCTATGGTACAGTTTTGGATCTTAATCAATAATAGAAGTACATGACATGCAGCACCCCGTAGAAGTATGCAAATATTGAATCTAAACTTTCGGTCTGTAAAGGGATGGGCCAGGTAGAGAAAAATTGTTAGTAATGGGGTTAGTTGTACAAGTGGTACTTCGCTATTATTTCGTCGACCATACGGTGCCCTCTGGAAAACATAGTTAATTCCCACAGTGGACTGATGGACATTCAATTAACTTCCAATAGTGCCTCGCCAGCGTGACCTATACTGATAGCACAGGCGTTTGCGCATACCAAAAAGACAATGATATAGCCCATTACTTGAATTTATAGAGAATAAACGCCATATATTCCTACTCTATCCCAATACGGAGTTTGTCGTCATCTAGGCTACCTTTCCTACTTCTACTTCAGCCGCCAAGCTACTTGCTCTGTAACCTATGTTTCGGTTTTAGTGTATATTAGGTATGATATTACAGGGTAAGAGGCATGACTTAGTCTTTCCGTCTTTCGAAATGGCAATGCATTACTTAAAATTTATTAGATTTATTAAATAAATTTTTAAACATGATCTAATCATGTTTAGTGCAACTTCTTCAAGCGTTTAGTGATTTACTAATAAACTTTAATTTGATAAGTTGTATCACGGGTGTCCCATGATAAGGTGATGTTGGTGGTGTCCACGTTGATGTATATAGGCGACGGTTACCACTTACCATTACTGTGCCGGCTAGTTTCCCATTTCAATTACATAAGACAAACTAAAACGAACCTCATTTTTAGTCATTCATGTGTAAGAAATTGGCTAATGATTTGGTACCCAAAGAATGTTTGGTGGCTACTTTCTTAAATCTAAGAAAATGTTACAGATCAGAGATTACAGCCAATTTCTTAGCTAGTTTCTGTTGTAATTGACCTTCAGTGTCTGTACATTCATAGTAGTAGGTGTATGTGTTGTATGATCATCATCCTAGTTGCTGCTCAAGCTTGGACGTAAGTAATCGGAGGTACACAGTTTTATTCTACATTGTCAATCAACAGTATACAAGTATATAATAAATATGACGTTGGTCAGCTTAGCTTTTAGGGGCTTAGAAGATGAAAGAACTACGTAATAAAAAACATTTTATACAATGGTATATATACATACACTTTGTCTCATCTTTTATTAGATTTCTTTTACTATTTTAATAATGCTGACTGCAGTCCAGCTGCAGCTGGCCGTCACCAAACCTGAATGAGAGCGTGTGCTATACTAAACACTCAGAAGGACTTACGAAGTGCTTAAAGAATAACTCCTACCAGATCTTTAAAAATTGTAGCTATAGAAAGCACTATCAATTAGCTTTAAAAAACCAAATAGGATGCATAAAACTTAATAATCTTCTTTTTGCGTTGGACCTAACCTAACAATCTGCAGGTTAAATACCTTATGTATATATACATATATACACATATAAATACTCACGTTATGGAGGGTTATGGGTAACCATTTCACAATGGGTATTTTATGGGAATAAGAAGTTATGTTATGGAGGGTTATGGGTAACCATTTCGTAGTCAATGGGCCTTTTATGGAAATGAGAAATTATCTTTAAATGAGTTGAAAATATCTGTTAAATAACTTTTATTGCCTCACTAAACTTAGATCAAATCAAAACTCATTTCGTCATCTAGGACATTTTAGCCGCTTATGAACGTCAAGTTTTTTGTATTAATATTTTTCCCTACAGTCCAATTCATAATACAGAATCAATTGAGAAGAACTGTAAATTCAGTTTATTTATGTACATTGTTTACTATAGATGTGTATATGTCTAACATTAAATGAAAATCTCGTGCATGAACAACAACTGTCATGCACGTTTGTTATTATTTAATCATTTAGAGAGTAAATAGGCTTCGCTTAGTAAATATGATTTAACAGATTAAATGATTACTTGCATGGCTTCGGTACAAAATAATTTATTTCCAAAATCCCGTGCATGAACAACAATTGTCATGTATTTTTTTTTAATTAATCGTTTTGGGAGTAAATAGACTTTGTTCAATGAAAATATTGTAACAGATTAAACGATTACTTGCATGGTTTCAGTGCAAAATATTTTATTACCATTTTACCTTATTTATTATTGTAAAATGTGTTCATAGTATAAATGTAAGTCAGTCATGACGCACCCCTGATAGTGATAATTGAGATTAGGTATGATAAGAGGACTGTAAATACTGTAATATACAGATATTTAAGTGATACAATGTTTTATAAAAAAAACTGGTCGACTAATACATACATAAACACGGCAAACATTGTAATATATAAAAATAAATTCAACTCCAGTTACTGGTAAATGTATGGTATTACAATAAAATAACAACTGCGGTCACTAACATAGCGTAAAAAAAAAAGAAGGTAACAACCTATTGTCAGACCTGCCTACATATTTTTATATATTACATAAAATTGGTAAAACTATTTCGGAGGAGTTTTCTTTCAAGGCAACTTTAGGGATACGAATTTAAATTCGAACCTGTAGCTAATATGCAAACAGAAGAAAAGAAAAATAGAAAACTTATTGAAGAAAAATATTGTTGTATGTTGTATTTTCATTTACAATTTCATATATCTGTACAAATTATACACATACAGACATAAATTTATATCTATATATTACTATTTCAATAAAAATAAGGGTTGATTTTAAAGTTATGTGTATTTTTCAATGCAAAATCATACTATAATAAAAATAAAAAGGTTTGTCAAAAAAATTTTGGGTAGGGTATCATTGAGGGGTATGAAAAAGAGACTTGGGCCGATTCTCAGACCCACCAGATATATACATAAGATATCAAAGAAGTTGGTAAAGCCATTTTGGAGGAATTTGCTAACATTGCGACACAACAATTTTATATCTTAGAATATATAATTCTAGAATATCTATTCTGAATTTAATGAAATATACTACTCGGCACTCAACTCAATTTCTTGAGCACATAAATATACTCGATAAGAAAAAAAGTATTAGTCAGCCGTCACTGCGCTCGACCATATTTTAGGGAGCCCAATGACCCGGCCCACCACGCCGCCACATGTCTGGGCATTTTAGTGAACATGACTATGTAACAGTGGCAATCCGTGAGGAAGTAGCCATTATTATTGCTAAAAGTTGCATATAGATGGCGTGATTGGTATCGATGGAATTCTTCATAGTTTTGCAAACGTTTTAAAAAACAAAACTGTGTTTACAAAAATGTTTAATCAATTTTAAAAGTTATATATACATGTTAAAATGAAATAATGCGTTTAGAAAAGTAATTTTCATATATTTACTCATTTTGTTATTTTCCAGTACTTAATTAATTTAATCAGTGCTAATACGGGGCTCAATGTTTTCAAAATGCTTTCATAGATGGCATTGTTGTCATTTGTATCGGCCTAATTAAATGTCTTTTTTATATTTTCCAACAATAAGCACTTAATATATCATTATTGTAAATTAAACATATAAAAAAATTTTAAGTAAATTAAAAATAGCCGAACAAGCAAGTAATACTATTTCCAATAATACTTATGTATGAAGTGTTGTCATATTAAAAATAAATACATGTATTATCGATTTTTTTGAATAATCGATAACAGGATTTTATTACAGCGCATTATTCGATGATGCTTTTAATGAGTCGTTGTGAACAGTAAATTTTTATTATTTTGTATTATAGCAGTGTTCCGTTTCAAAGAACGGAATATAGTAGTACATTATTAGTGTCGTTGGTTATTTACATTTGTACTAAAAATCGATTACATAATAATTTAAAATATCGAGTACGAATCGTAGTTAGTCTTTGAATACTGGCAAGATTAAAATAGTATTTAAGAAAAAGAGAGAAATCGACCCTAACTCGAATACCATAAAGTAGATTTTCCTTTCTCATTAATATCATAGCAGTTTGTTTTTAACTTGCGTATGACTCTGTGGTATGATGTTTAACGTGTATTGTTATTGTACGGTGCATACATTTCAAAAATTATATTTTAATGTAGGTACATACATTTCTTTCATACATTTCATACATGTCAAAAATTATCTTTTAATGTAGGTACATACATTTCTTTCATACATTTCATACATGTCAAAAATTATCTTTTAATGTAGGTACATACATTTCTTTCATACATTTCATACATTTAAAAAATGAACTTTTTATGTAGGTACATACATTTCTTTCATACATCTCATACATTTCAAAAATTATATTTTAATGTAGGTACATTCATTTCTTTCATACATTTCAAAAATGAACTTTTTATGTAGGTACATACATTTCTTTCATACATCTCATACATTTCAAAAATTATATTTTAATGTAGGTACTTACATTTCATACATGTCAAAAATTATCTTTTAATGTAGGTACATACATTTCTTTCATACATTTCATACATGTCAAAAATTATCTTTTAATGTAGGTACATACATTTCTTTCATACATTTCATACATTTAAAAAATGAACTTTTTATGTAGGTACATACATTTCTTTCATACATCTCATACATTTCAAAAATTATATTTTAATGTAGGTACTTACATTTCATATATGTCAAAAATTATCTTTTAATGTAGGTACATATATTACTTTCATACATTTCAAAAATTATATTTTAATGTAGGTACATACATTTCATACATGTCAAAAATTATCTTTTAATGTAGGTACATTCATTTCTTTCATACATTTCAAAAATGAACTTTTTATGTAGGTACATACATTTCTTTCATACATCTCATACATTTCAAAAATTATATTTTAATGTAGGTACATACATTTCTTTCATACATCAAAGATATTATTATTGTAGATATCGAAAGTTATGTATACAAGTAATTCTGAATATTATCAAGTTCAAAATAAGCACACATTACTGGCTTAGATAATAGAGTAATATTACTTGTAATAAAAACATTTGTGACACCCATATGTATACATATTACATAGTAAGTACTTACGCCCGTGCCGTGAGACTCATCTAAGCGTACAGCGCATGCGCGTCGTGCGGTAACCGCACCGACGGACCAATAGGAGCGCGCCTCTCGCGCATCCAGAAAGTTCGCGACTAATGGACGGTATAGTAGTAAAGCAATGAGTGTTCCAGTGACATCATTATAATATTTTCTCGTTAAGTTTTATTGTAATATACATAATTTCGTACTAAGTAACGTGTTCCCCCGTTACACATTTCTAACGTGTAACGGGCGTGAAAGCGAGACAAACAGACAGAGTTACTTTAGCATTTATAATATTTGTAAGAATATCGCTATTAAAAATAGGGGTTGGTGAAAGACGGGCCAAAATTTAGGCGTGTATGTAACATTATAAATGAATAAAAAATTGTCCATAATACAAAAAAAAAAAAAATTAAGGGTAGGCCACCCCTATGACTTAGGGGTATAAAAAATAGATAACAACCCTACCTCAGACCTAGCAAGTATACATATCAAATTTCATACAAAATTTATATATAAGATATAGCGGAATTCTCATTAGGGAAAAGAGGGGTACATCGTAGAATACATGAGGTATATGTATACCAGTAAATTCATTGTAGCTAAAACTAGTCTCTTACACATAACGATTGAAATAAAAAATCATATAGCCCGATGTTGATACGTACGAGTATAAACGTATCAAAATCGGGCTATACGTATAGCGCAGACGCGTTACAACATATCTTCGTCGAGAGAAAAAAATAGGCATGGAATGTAGAATAAACTATAACATAATATATACATTGGCACATAAGCCATATCTGCAGGGTATCGGCTAACGATATTATACCTACACATTTACATTGAATCTTGAATCGTCCCTAATGAGGTACACGATACAGTTACCTACATATCTTGTATATACCTATCTTTGCAAAACAGATGTCATGTAGACTGAATTGACTGCCATCTATTTTCGTGCTTTGTTACTAAGCACCCACTAGTAATCCGAACTGCTTCAGATCTAGAGACATCTAGCGGCTACGGCGGCGAAATAAAATAGCCCGAAGAATAGCCCGAGTTAGGAAGGAACCATTTTCTTGTATGGGATGGGGTATCTGTATGTAATATTATGTTATCTGTGCTATGTAATATTATCCTTATCTGTGGTTTTACTAATCCTGTGTTTCTTTTTTCAGTTGGCAGGTTTGGCGCTTCTGGGCTTAGGTATTGCAATCCAGTTACAGCTCAATGTAGTGTTAGATACTGTACCGGATCATGGAATCCAAGTAGCCCCCATAAGTGCCATGGTCATTGGCGGTATTGTATTCGTCATAGCCTTTTACGGATGCTGTGGAGCTATCAGAGAGAGCAACTGCATGTTGGTGACTGTAAGTAACATTAATATTATAAAGTGGTAAGGCTAGTATGTTTGTTTGTTCGGGGTAATCTCCGGTTGTACTGATTGGATTAAAAAAAACTATCATTGTTAGAAAGGTATATTATCCTCGAGTGCTATAGGCTATATAATTTACGACCAATAGCAGCGGAGCAACAATGAGAAATGTGGCGAAATATATTCTTGTTATGAATGCTTCTGATGCGTGCGCTGCGTAAATGGTTAAAATTACACAAAAAATATGTATGAAATGGGGAACACTTCCGTTCCCCTTTAAAAGTTCTAAAAAAAAGTCCCCGCCATCGTATGTCTATATTTTAATGATAACTCACTATAACCTTTTTTATGGTAATCAAATTTCTTATAAAAAAAGACATTATTTGCGAAAGTGTTTTCACCAACTAAAACGTGTCGAACAGTTAAACAAATATTGGACCCGTGCGAAGCTGGTGCAGGCTAGTATACAATATAATTAATAGGGTCCTAATACAATATTTGTCAGAACTGTAAAATGAAATTACAGTGCACAGAGCCGTCCTAAAAAATTTTTTATTTCCATGATCATTTTGATATACCTACTTACATACTCGTATATATAGGTGACAATTGTCATTTCTAATCAGGGATGAATCCAAAGCATGTTTTCCAGCTAACATACATAAACATTGTTTCGTTTTTTTTACAGTACGCAATCTGCATGATTATCTTGATGATCCTAAAGATCACACTGGCCAGTTTAATATTCGTTAACATGGACAAAATTATTGCGGAGATTCCACTTCATCTGCAGAACATATTCAGTACAGATGAAATAGCTTTTGGAAATATCCAAGTGGCGGTAAGTAGCGTAGACCCTTTTTACATGTTGGACAGATGTTCCACAGTTTTGCATAAAATCTAAAAACCTCTTATACCTACACACGTTTCAAATATCAAAGTGTTCCCATGCTGGGAAGTAAGGGCATTGTTAGAAATGTTGACTGTTGACCCCAAGACTAGCAATGCACCTTTTTTTCGGATTACTGTAACGTTGTTGGCCGCAGCTGGCCAATACAGCTTCACCAGACGATAGGGGGCGAGTGCAGATGGCGCTCCAAACCTGCGGAAGGACCTATGAAGCGGCTGAAACCAACTCCCGCATAGCGGGTACAACTTTGTAGACTCCTAAGTTAAATTAGCATTTATAGAAAATATTTATAGCGCGTTTAACGTTTTTATGACTATGTTTATCAGAGATAGGCTTTATCAGAGATATTGTACAAAAGATACAACTGTCTCACCTATTTCAGTCACCAAGTTAAGCAAGCAAGCACCAACTTACTTCGTTTACTATAATTTTGTAGTATAGCAGACATATGGAGTATATAAAATGCTTGTCAAATATAACATTAAGCTGTTAAATTCTGATGTATTCCAAAATAAAAACTTATAAATAAAGTATTTGCGCTTTAATACTTAGGAGACTCACATATTACGATAATGTAATTTTAAAATATGTATTAAAATAATAAATTAATAGAACGCCTTGTTGAAATGTAAGAGTAGTAAACTACTGTTATTAGATATTGCTATTCATTTTTAACAGGTTTTGTAAGAGAACAGAGTAGGAGTTTGGAGAGAATTAGGACTATAGAGGAGATTATGATGCATGTACATACGAGAAGTAGAAATTGTACAAAATTGAAAAGTAGTGCTATTCATGTATATTGTCCACAGTTACCACTTCCCATCATAAATAGAAATAGATAGAAGAAATAATGTTTCTGTGACCTTATGAACAGTATACTTTCAGTTTAACTGCTGCGGCACCACTGGGCCTATGGCATACCCCAACCCTTTGAGTCTCCCCGACAGCTGCTGCGCTAACGCTCCCTGCCAGCTTTTAAATTCATACGAGGGCTGCAATGTCAAGCTGACCAATGTTTTCACCACATATGGCATAACGATAGGCATTGTACCACTTGTCATCGCTGCTTTTGAAGTAAGTAATTTTTTAATAGTGTTAAACATTATTATGTTATGCATGAAGATAATATTTTAAGGAAAGTGTTAGATATGAATGTGAATAATTATAAGAATAGAGGAAGGCCGAAATAGAGATGGATGTATTGTGTGAAAGATGATACGGTGAGAAAGGAAGTAAGTAACGAGATGACTTCGAACAGCGATGCATGGACGAGAAAAACATATTACGCCGGCACAAATGAATGGGATAACGAATAAGCAGATGATGTTAAACATATCATCTATGCCAGAAGGAATATAGACAGTTTCAAAAGAGTTAGTGATTGCACGAATAAAAGCTTACGTAACAATAACAAACTGATTTTACCTAAATGTCGTTTGGCTAAAGTTAGTAATTCGTTTTATGGCAATTGCGTAAGGTTTTACAATAAAATACCTGAGTCTGTTATAAATCTGCCAGAAAAAAGATTTAAATGTCAAATAAAACAGTTCCTTTGCAAAAAAGCTTACTATAAAATTGAAGAATTCGTTAACAATAATAATGTTTTTATGGAACAACTTTAAATCTATAGCACTGACAATATTATCTGATTACATTAATAATGAGTGCGTAGCCACTTCTATGTTGATTATCGCATACCTCTTATTTGTTATACTGTAATTATTTATATAAAAAAAACATCTATTAAAAAGAGCAACACACAAGTTTCTTGCTCATTCTTCTTGTGATGAATATGCATTCCGAATGAGTGGTAGAATCAAAATATGACTATTCAAAAGTGCTTGTAATGAGTTTATTTGAATAAATATTATTTCTATATCTATTTATTTATATTTCATATATTACCGAGTGGTAAAGTGTTTGGGATAGAGTCGCAGTATTCTGCCCCAATTGCATAATGCACAATACGCTTATGTAGAGGGATATTGTGCTAAAATTAGAGACTTATTGACAACATATTGACTTTGCGGCGAGACATTGCATCTCTGTGCTGTTTCTACCGCATATATCACAGAAAGTGTTGAGGAATGTCGCTATCAAACTACCGGCCAGAAACTAAAGTACCATCCTACTCATCTTTTTTTTTTGACTACTGTAATGCTGTTGGCCGCAGCTGGCCTTTACAGCTTCATCGGACGACAGGGAGTGAGTGCAGATGGCACTCCAAACCCTCGGAAGGACTTATGGAGCGGCTGAAGGCCAACTCTCGCCTCACGGATACGACTTTAGTCTGAGTGCACCGCTAAGGGTTGAAACCTCGTCTCAGGCCGTCGTAATTTCGATCCCCGTTTGAATCTTGAATCCCCGTTTGACCTGGGGCACCGGTCTGGTATTTTATTAATGTGATTTTATTTTCGTTTCAGCTGGTGGCAGTGGTATTCAGTCTTTGCCTTGCAAATCATGCCCGCAACAAACACAGAAGGAGCCATTACTGATTTCTCATGGCTCATGGACTTGAGTATGGTTGTAAAAACAATACAGGATCATTAAAAGTATACCAAGTAGAAAACCAAGTGTTTATGAAACTGAACAATATTCTCCAAGAAATAAAGTCCAAAATTTAAAATTTTCTATAAAAACCGTTCTCACGTTTCTTTTTCTTATTCAAATTTCCACTTTATTTCTAGGTGAAAATGGTTAAACTTTATGTGGCATCCACCGGGTTTTTGACTTGGTATTCTCCTTACTACAATCCCTGTATAAAAAGGATAAGAATAATTAATTAAAATAGAGAAACAATTGTACGTTATCTACATACAAACGAGAAGCAGTTTTACACATTACAGTATAACAACAATAAGTCATCACAGTTATTGTCAATTAAGGGGGCATTACATTAACAAATATGGAATTAAATTTCTGGACATGTGTGTTACACTAACAAATGTTGGTTTCAAATTTTGAACCATATGTGTGTTTGATGTCCGGATTAGAAATAAAAACATCTAACTACATTAGTCAATAATTTATGCAAGGTTATTAATAAACCTGTAACTGAAGATGTTAAAAATAGAGACGTCAATGAATGAAGTAATTAATAAATAGAGCATATTCTAGATTAATAGATAGGATAGTTATTATTGGAAATATACAACCAGTAAATTCATAAATTAATGTTAATACATTATATATTTTTATTTGATCGTGTGGTGCTCCCTTCAAACCATATTTTAAAATCAAAGTTTAGGTTTTAATGATTTTTATATAAAATATAACTTTAAGTTATTTAAAAGTGTATTTATTTTTTAAGTTAAATTTAATGTAATAAATTGGGTCCTGACACGAAAACAAATCCTTTATTTAAATACACTAAGCGTGTTAAAACTGAACAAATTATATCAATAATTTGTATTAAACGAAATAGTTTAAAAAAGTGTTTATTTTTGTAAAAGTTTTGTTCTGAGATAGCCTGTAATAAAAAGGTTTGACGGTAAATCATGAGTTTATTTTTTTTCACTTTTTAGCATCAATGTAACTTGTAGGATTGTTATAGTCTACAAGCTAGGGAATTCCTTTTTCTTTAAGATGTAGGATTAACTTATATACATATAATCTTGCAAATATAAATATTAAATAAGTAAGTTTGTAAATAGGAATGGATGTTTGTTACTTTTTCTCCCAAAAACTACAAAACGGATTTTGATTTTTTTTATACCACGTAGATGGCAAAAAACATACGGCCCATCTGATGGTAAACGGTTACCGCAGCCTGAACACCTGAAACACCAGGGGTGATAAGTGCGCGTTGCCGACCCTTAAGAAACCTTAATATACCCTTCTTAAAAACCCCATGCTATAGTTTCGTGAGAAAACCACGGCAAGCAGTTCATTCCACAATCTACGTGTACGCAGGAGGAAGCTCCTCTGAAACCACTTAGGTTCCAGCATGTGGGGATAAATTCCCTGTCGATGGCGAGCGGTGCGATGGTAAAAGGTAGCCGTAGGCATCATGACAAACAATTCTTCAGAACACAGTCCGTTGTATATTCGGTCGAACACACAAAGCGATGCGAAGTGTCGCCTCAAGCGAATTGATAAAACTGTACAGTAATATAGCTTATACATCAAAATAACATATATAATTTAAAAATATATTACGTAGTTAATTTTAAACTTTCGTGTTTAATATACATTATTTAAATTATTAACCGTGGAATTCAGTCATAAATAAATTCAAGCAAAGTTCAGTAGCATCAATAGTCAATAAGTGTACGGATACCGTGAGTGCTGTGTGTCGCGAACTTTCGTTAAACAACCTAGTGACGGTAGATGAAGAAAAAACTGCTGTCACCTATCTACATTGACATCGCTGTTACTCCAGTCAGCTCGTGACCACGGCTAGTGCAACCTAGTCGAAACGTCGAGAGAGGTAAATACCTTTATTTGCCATAAAATTATTCGTGTTAAGACCCGGTTAATAATTTAAATAATGTATATATTACGTAAATTGGATTAAAAATGATGAATGTCAAGTAAGTGTGATGCAGACGAAAAAATTGTGTCTGTCTATTTTGATGCCTTTTCACCGTTAAAACCACTGAGTAGATCTTAATGAATTTTAACATGAAGATAGGTCGTAACACAGGTACGGTAATAACTTATTCTGCTAGCTCGCTATTCATATACCTCCCCATCTACAATTATACCCTATTTTACAATAGGCTACATCTGTGGATCCATACGTGAATTTCTACCCTGGGATTAGATGAAGCTATGTTAATTGTACAGAGTTATCAATTTATTTATAATGGATATTAGCTAAGCGCGATTTCTGCTCATCCATATTCTATTCTATTGTATTGTATTGGTCGAAATATTCTATAATGTGTACTCCTTGAAAGTGTCGACAGTAAGATGTTGTGTAGCAAATCTGGGCAATTAAGTATATTAAGTATCAAACTTAATATACTTAATTGCCCAGATTCATCGTCACACACAGCGGCCTGCGTCGCGACACGACAGAAGTGCCCTCAACATTTCCATTAAATCTTTCCTAACGAGACAAATAATACAACATTTTTGGTGTTTGTTTTATACAAAAACATCCCCAAATATGGCACTAGTTCTGAAGCTGTTATTATGGATGATGATGAATGCACTGCGGTAACGGTTTACGCGGGCGGATCACTAGTGGAGAATAATAAGATGAGCATGAGGTCAGGTCAGTTAACTCAACGTGACAAATTCACCAGGAATTTATCGTGATAGTTTCCAAGATAAACCGCGTGGAAATCAACCTGATATGGTGTCCGCAGTTGGTCTTTACAGCTTCACCGAACGATACGGAGCGAGTGGAGATGCCACTCCAAACCGTCAGAAGGACTTATGGAGCGGTTGAAGGTCTAGTCCTACCTGACTGATACAACTTTCGTTTGAGGGCACCTCTAGGAGTTTGGCAGTCGTTAAATTGGAGCAGAAGTGGAGAAATATTATATATTAAGATAAAACATTGTTTTACTGGAATTACTAAAATTATAAATACCATTATTTTATCTGTTTACGATAAGTACATAAAACATTCATTAAATTATATCCATTATCTAATATCCGGTAAAATGTATTATCAGGAGGATTCAATCACTACGTCACACATATAGTCAAAGTGTGGGAGGTTCCTGTAGTTCGCGACATTTCATTTTAAATTTCTATATGAACAGAACAGATTTCTATATGATACATATATTAAATTTGATTCATACAACGAAAATAGGTAAATTATCAAAGTATGTGACGTCAAACTATAGAAGGGGGAGAGGTCTGACAAACGACGAAGTTCGTGTTTTTTTAACTTATGGTTGGACTGATGATGGTAACGATGTACCTATATTAAATGATTAGATAAATTAAATATCATCGACCTGTTGAATTATAGATTAATTATAAATGTACTCGTATCTTGAAATGTATAATCGGAATCTGCTAATCCGGTAGATATATAAAATATTTACATATTCATATACAAAATATGATCTTGATATGTCTACGTTTGACTGTGAATATTTTAATGGAGCTAACCAATTGTCATCTTTTCAATGAATTTTGGTTTGTATCGATGTATACATCATTGGAGAGTCGGTCAGATATATATATATATATATATATATATATATACATGAGGATATTGCATGTTGACAAGTTACGAAGTCACGATCATTAAGGTCCATGTTAGGGAATAGAAACTCCTAAACCATATCGTTCCTAAAATAGAATAGTATAGAAATCATTTATTCAAATAAACTTACATTGACCGCTCCTTCGGAGAGCTGTCTCATCACAAGAAGAACGAGCAAGAAACTTGCGTGTTGCTCTTTTAAATATTTTTTTTCTTTATTACATTTTTAAGTTTATGTGTGTGAATACAAACTACCAATTAGCACTAATTCAAATAAATACTCAAAATTCTCAAATAAAATTTAAAAACGCAACCTAAAAAAGCAATCGTTTTTTAGATTCAATGTAGATATAACTTTTAAAGATTATGTGGCCATCAAGAACGTTCCCTAATTTTTTTGCTTTATTATTACCTCTTCTAAACAAGTATCTAAAATTTTACGACAGGATAGTTAAATTGAATTTTTGGGATACTTCTTTAGTACCCAAAAGCCAAAATTTAGATTTGTATTTGTTAGAGAATCGTTTAACAATGTTAACAAATGAACATCGTCAATAATATTTGCAGTTTAAATTTATATTATGCAGAACCTATATAACATTTCAATGAGAAGCGTACCTAATACAAAGCCTTGGGAAACCCCACCCTTTATGGGGAGGATTCCTAATATGAGCTATCGCTATTACGTAGCTTTACGGACTGCCAATCAGTTACTACAGTAACTACTAAACTATTTGAATGTGTATGAAATCCATTATATGACTGCTTGGAAAGAAATAACGGGATGTGAAGGCTGTACAAAGCACGGGTGAATGTAAGGAGTTCAAAACCATGACGAGAACCAAACCACGTTCATCATCCTGATCAGTAAGTATATTAATATCAAAATATGCTGTGACAGTACTTGGCATTTTACCAAATCCAGATTGAACAAACGGCAACAAACCAACACCAATAACGTAGTTTATTAGCTGGGCATTTAGTCTTTTCTAGTTATACGTGAACTTATAAAAATTACGGGATCTTACCACGTTTTATGTATTATTATTGAGATCCCGATATTTCGGAGTTTTACAACCGCCATAATCACGGGTAAACTGAAGAGAAGCGGGTAAACGCTAAATAAATTAATTTAATTGCAGCATATTCGTTTGTTGCTATATACTATTGACACTAGCTCGATACTCATATCGGTAAACTCTACTCTCTCTATCTTCACATGCAGAGTATAAAATACAATACTATGCAATAGTTCTGGGATTAAAGATTTTACTTATTTGATATTTATTTACATTTCGCCCAATTTACAATATCAATGAGCGAAGCGCGGAGCGATCTTAGAGATCAGATTTGCACTCTTTGTAACGATAGTCCTCCACTAAAAAAAATCGGATCGGTTTTTAAGAATAAACGCGCTTCAACAAAATCCATTAAGTAGTTCTTTACTTAATTAAGTAAGGAACTACTTAATGAATTTTGTTAATACTTTAAATTAAAACAGTTTATACATTAGAATAATACATAGGTTTTAATTTAAAACTAGATTTGTTACCGGTATACACCAAGTTACATATTGAGCGAAGCGCGTTCATTCTTAAAAACCGATACGATTTTTTTTTAGTGGAGGACGATGGAGGTCTGAAGGTCGACCTACATGAAAGAACAACGGATGTTTCCGTCAAAGTAAACTTTCTTCTTTATATTTCTAGAAAGGGGCTTTACGACGCATATAGACTTAAAATTATCTGTATCATATAACAATGCTTTACTCGATCGATATTCGATATAAATATATGTGATAGTTATCTCTATAATTGGCCGATAACCTATCACGACTGTATGTTGCCATAAAATAAGTGTAAATTCATTAGTATACACTACCGATCTCTCATTAATAGTTGTTACAAGGTTTACAAACAAGGACTCAAAATGTGTCGATCGATTGCGAAATACACATTGTTTATTGTGAATTTACTATTTGCCGTGAGTATCATTTAAGTGTTTTATTGTAATAAATTTTGTTTTAATTATTCACTACTATCTAAAATGTATAGTCTATGTGTTACTCTGATGTATAAGCTATATTACTCTATAGTTTCATCAATATCATTTCAGTAGTTTTTACGTGATAGAGTAACAAACATCCATCCATCTATCCATCCATACTCACAAATTTTCGCATTTATAATTTTAATAAGATTCATTAATTTAGTGGGATTTAAATAGATAAATAGATAAAGTGGTCCTGAATATGGCAATGAAATTACTGGTTATAGACAAGTTGTAAATTTTTGGATTACGGTGTAATTTTCAGGATCAGGAACAGCAACTTATGAGGGTTCTTAAAATTTATTTTCGTTTTTTTTGCATAATTTACACATCGCACAAGTCAATATAAACAATTATGAGTTTGGTATTATTTTTAAGTTTTCCCAATTTTACTGCATTGTCTGTCATTCATTATTCCCGTATTCTTAACGTATGTAGAGCATAGATGCCACGACCTTTTTTTTGGTCAATTGCATGGGTTTCCAGTTTCATAAGAAAAAAAAGAAGTTAAAAAAACGAACTGTAATTTTAAAAAGTTACTAGTATTAATTTGATTGTACTCGTTATATCGTAAATTTCTGTTCGAATTAAAAAAAACTTTTGGTGTTAAATAGATAGTACCTAGATAGCAATTGTACAATCACGCTAAAACCAATATGTGGCATAGATAAAGTTGTGCGGGTCTACTAGTCAGTTATATACCTGAGATTTTACTATAGGAAGACTATAAGTCGTCTGGGTGGATACCTCATCTCACCTTTTTCAGCCGCCAAGCAGCTCGCTTTGTAAGCTGTTTCGGTTGTAGAATGCAATTATGCAGTTATATTACAGGATAAGAGGCATGGCATATTAATCAGCTGGAATTCCTGGACACAAGAGTGTTTTTTTAATGTATGAGAATGGTGCACCCACCTGCTCTAACGGTTTACTTTCCCGAGCAACAGTGGAGCATGATGAGCGTGAGGTCAGGTCAGTTAGCCCATCGTGACAAATTCACCGAATTTACAATAATTTTGTTATAATTTATGGGCAATGGGGTTAATAAGTCTACATTATTAACAATGCCCATTACCCCACGTATGAGTGGTATCACGTGATAACATGATATCCGTGGTTCATGTATTGCGACAGTTTCCACTTACCATTAGGTGGTCGTCAGTTTGCTTATACCTATTGTTAATACTCATACTTGTATTAACATCGCATACAGCTATGACGCGCACGTCATGCTACTGGGGCTGTGCGCCGTGCAATATTGTGCATCTGTGGCGCATTGCGTTTGCGCGGGAAAATAAAAAAGATTTCTTCAGCAGACATACTGATCTGTTGTGTTGTTCATTGTTAATTATTGTACTTAATTCTTAATAGCTTTATATATTTGTAATTTACTTTTAATTCAATATCGTACTAATTATAAACGCAGAAGTTTGTGAATGTGTATGGATGTTAGTTACTAGTTATTTTTAAAGTTTCGTGTTTAAGATACATTAAATACCTTTATTTATACATCTATACATATAAATAAAATTGGAGTGTCTGTTTGTAAAATTAAAATAACCGTTTTTTACTACATGCATATGAATATAAATACGGTACACACATTAATATAACATTATTTACAATTTTTGTATTTTGACGGGACTTTTATTGGCAGGTAGTTGATGTAATAAAGCATAACTTCACTTTATTTTTCTAAAATAAAAGTAGCCTAACTTTTATTTTAGAAAAATAAAGTGAAATTCCATGCGGACGAAGTCGCAGGATCAGCTAGTTTGTCATAAAATTATTCGTGTTAAGACCTAGTTAATAATATGAATTATGATGTTTGCTAGTCTTACACGCTGATGATTGATTACTGAATGAACTTTAATGAAACTTTACAATAACATAGCTTCCACAAGAAATTAATATAGTTACGTTATTATGATAAATAATGACGGTTTTATTTATAGAATACAATAGAAAATTCTTTATTCAAATAAACTTAATTTAAGCACTTTTAAATAGTCATAATATTTTTTTGAATCTACCGCTCATTCGGAAAGCTATCTCATCACAAGAAGATATAGCCTTACTTAGGCTATAAATTTAAAGCAGATAAAACTACGGGAACAGCTAGTACTATCTATGTGTACAACAATATGAGTAAAAATACTGCCCCTAAAAACACCTGTATATTTTTTTCAGTTGGCCGGCTTAGTGCTTATTGCCTTCGGAATAGTGGTCGTAATAGCAGTACCCGATGAGATTAAAGCAGCGTCTATACCGTTCTTTGTATTTGGCGGCATTATATTCCTGATCGCGTTCTGTGGATGCTGCGGGGCCATTACCGAGTCAAAATGCTTGCTTATTTTGGTGAGAATTAATATTTATACATATACATATAATTAAATTACTTATATTTTAGTTCTCCTTAGTCTTATTATAATCTCTTCTCCTACTCAAATTACTTATATTTTAGTTCTCCATAGTCTTATTATAATCTCTTCTCCTACTCAAATTACTTATATTTTAGTTCTCTATAGTCTTATTATAATCTCTTCTCCTACTCAAATTACTTATATTTTAGTTCTCCATAGTCTTATTATAATCTCTTCCCCTACTCAAATTACTTATATTTTAGTTCTCCGTAGTCTTATTATAATCTCTTCCCCTACTCAAATTACTTATATTTTAGTTCTCCATAGTCTTATTATAATCTCTTCTCCTACTCAAATTACTTATATTTTAGTTCTCCAGTAGTCTTATTATAATCTCTTCCCCTACTCAAATTACTTATATTTTAGTTCTCCATAGTCTTATTATAATCTCTTCTCCTACTCAAATTACTTATGTTTTTAGTTCTCCATAGTCATGGCAGTACTGGCTGCATTGAAGATAGTTACAGTGGTAATGTTTGCAAATGTAGTAAACAGAGGCCACGACGCAATAGAAGACAGGATTGTGAAAAATTTCGGCGAAACTGTAAATCCTGAAATGCACATTTTCGAATTTGTTGTGAGTATTTTTTTTTATGGATTACATGGTGCACCCGCTTGTGTTAACGGTTTACGCTTGTAGAAACCAGTGAAGGATGATAATAGGAGCAGTTTGTCCATCGTGACAAATTCACCAGGACTTTATCGTGATGGCTTCCAAGGGGAATCCAAGTGGATGTTTAGCCGACATTTCTAAAAATCCCCTTCCCTTTGTTCTTCCTTCTGTGCACCTACATATATATTTTTTGTATATGATAATGAAATGGTGCACTCGCCTGCGCTAACGGTTTACGTTGGCGAGGCGCCAGTGGAGGATGATAGGATGAGCATGAAGTCAGGTTAGTTTTTCCTGACAAATTCACCAGGGGAATCCGAGTGAAGGTTAAGCCGATATGGTACACTACTACAAATAGGTTTATCAGTCCACATTACCAAAAACTCCTTCCCCCTGTTCATGTATTTTTTTATATGATAATGAAATGGTGCCTGCGCTAACGGTCTACGCTGGCGGGGCACCAGTGGAGGATGATAACATGAGTAGGAGTCAGGTCAGTTTGCCTATCGTGCCAAATTCACTAGGTTTCATCATGATGGCTTCCAAGAGGAATCCGAGTGGATGTTAAGCAGACAGGGTTGCTAGCAATGGAGTCAAGAATCTACATTACTAACGATCTGCCTTCCCCTTGTTTATGTATTCAAGTTGAAGACCTATCAGCTTATCACAATTTCAATTAAATGGACACTAATATTTCCTCCAGTTCACCTGCTGCGGCACCAACGGATCCATCTCTTACGATAACAGACCTCTATATGAGGAATACCTACCGCCTACATGCTGTAGGCTAGACAGCGAGCTTTGGCCCGGTCTGGACAATATAGACGATATAAGAGGAACGCTGAGTGCTATCATGGAGAGATACGAATTCATCAATGATATCGATTTTGAGGATATAGACCTGACAGAGTATCAGTGCTCCAGAGAGGACGCGGTAACAGACGGATGTGTGGACTCTGTTACTAATTTCACAAAGCGATACAGTAATATTGTAATATATGTCTTCGTAGGAATAATATGTGTAGAAGTGAGTATGTTTTATAATGATAATAAAAATAATAATCTCAGGACAATTCACACAGCGCTATCTAGTCCCAAGTTAAGCTAGCTAAAGCTTGTGTTATGGGAACTAGTTAACATTTTTTTCGTAAATACATACAAATTACATATATATAGAAAACACCCAGACCACTACAAACAATCATCATGAAAAAAGATGGTTGTACCGTGCGAGGAATTGAACCCACGACCATCGGTAGTAAAGCGATGGCTAAACCGCTAAACCACCGAGGCCGTCAAGTAAAATAATTTTAGTAAACCGCTTCAGTTTTTCCACCTAGTGAGTAGTAGACAAATTGTTAAAAATTCGTAGATAGGAACTTTTAGAGTTATAGTGCAGAAGGTCTATTGTTATCAATGTTTTTATATGTTGTTTAATAGAAGTTTTTAGTTGAGACAAAATGATTAATGAAATTATACTATCTTGGGGACCATTTGATATGCGCCCCGTATCTAAATAGTTACTGTTGGTTATCGGTGACAAAAGTTATTCACTGCTGTATATCCACTGTATTTGTATTTGAATTAAAAATAACTAAAATCAAAAGTTGCTAGTATTTGGGTCAGATAGACCACTCGGAGCCGGGGTGGAATACAGATATGAACTTTTAACTTTTTGTCCGAACCAATACGATATTGAAAGCTTCCAGAAAAGAGTTTATTCCTTTTTAAAAGGCCGGCAAAGCACTTGCAATTCCCCTATTGTTGCGGGTGCTCATGGGCGGCAGTAATGACTTACCATCAAGTGAGCCGCAAGCTCGTTTGTCCCTGTGCTAATATTATAAAAAAAATATATAATTTAATAAAAAAAAGCTTCCACATGTTAAAAAAAGACAACCTCCCTCTACTCCACTGAATGTGAATATTGAACTTTGACGTTTACTTTTTAAACGATATTCTAAGGGTGGATTTCACCAATCACACCATAAACCAAGTTCAAGCAATCGCACCAAGTTCAAGGAAACGGAGTTCAGCGTAAACTCGAAAAAAAGATCGACGTTGATCTAGTTTTACTTTAAATAAAATTCACCAGAATTATATAGATCTCGTTTACCAAAACAAAAGTTTAGATTTTCATTCGTTCAGTGTTACACAATCATAATATAATATTTGATGCAATGAGTAATTTATCAAAAATAATTTTAAGAAATATTTGCAATTCAATCATGTGATAATTAGGATAAGATTTTTAGTTTTTAATTTAATAAGTACTGTAGACTACAAAATATATAATAACAACCTTTACCTATAAACAAGGTAAAACATTATTTTAGTGAGGAAGCTGCTTTAAACACGTTTAAAGAGGTAACTGTAGGAAATTGGGCGTTCAGAATTTGTAAACGTGTTTAGCGAAATTTTTAGTGGTGAAATGCAAAATGGCGCTTTGAACATGTATAAACGATTTAATCGCGTTCAGGTCGAACTAAACGCGATCAGTTTTTTTGGTGAAATCCAACCTAATTCATCCAAGTATACTTTGTAAAGACTCGTTTATCAGACGGGCCGTATGCTAGTCACCATCGTTGTGTAAATAAATAATGGGTACCTTTGTCCACCTATTTCAGCCAAGTAGCAAGCTACTAACAACTAAGTTACCATACCCTCTAATGTAAATTCATAGCAAAATCTCACTCAGCTCGCAAAGCAACCGGCTTATCAATAAAAGTCATATCTACAATGAATTATCAATATTATCACCAAGATAAGAGCCTAGATTACGTACGTAAAAAATAATTAAATAGTTTGTTTACACTATGACTGTTTTATTTATTCATTTTATTGACTTCCCGTCCAACAGATTAGGTATGGAGTGTATATATTAGTCACTCAAATTCTTTCAATTTTTTCCTTATTTTATTTATTTTATTACATATAATCAAAATCTTACTTTATACATTTTCGACGACGTTTTTATTGCACTAATTCTTTTTTCAATATAATTTGCAAGGTTTTATACTATGTTATAAAAAAAGATGTACCTAAAGCGCCTTATATAATATATATATGTATATAGGTAAAGCTATAAAATATTAACAAACTTTTTGACAAATCTCTTTTTTTCTCATTTTCAGGTGCTTTCATTCGTGTTCGCGATATTTATGTGCTGTTCAACGCCCAACAAGAAAATAGGACATAATTATTATTATTAATAATCAAATAGTTAGTATTTTTTTTTAAATAAGTTGGCCATATTGATTTTCACTTTAATAATATTAGTTTAACCTGTATCATATAACATTTGAACAGTTGTTCCTTTTGGAACTTGCCCACTGTACAAAATTCTAGTAAAGTTGCTATAAAAAGCAACTCTAGGTAGATTGCCAGCAACTCTTTCTTTACAACAATATTGTTGGTACAGATCCATGTCAGGGTGATCGTCATCGATCACGATGGTTTCCAGGGCGAGGTTCTGGAAAGCATCGTGACAAATTCATGGTGAATTTACGATGATAGGTTAATTGACCTGACATCATACTCATTTTATCATCCTCCACTGGTGCCCCGCCAGCGTAAACCGTCAGCGCAGGCGGGTGCACCATTCCATTATCATCTATAAGGAAAAAAACATAATCTTCATACTCTCCTCAGCTGGCCGTTTCATTGACATCATGATATCATGAAAATGCATAAAAATAATTCATAATTATATAAAATTTTAATAATAGTAATAATAAAAAATGTTTTTTTGTGAACTATATAATTTTTGCCAATTCAACAAAAAAAAATGACTGCCCACCTGATCTAAACCAGTGTTTACCAGCGTGGTACCCATGCCCCACACGTGGGCAATTTGATTGTTAAGGGAGGAACTTCGAAAATGGACTCGACATCAGTTTAATCCTTTCGCTCAACTCCATTTAAACGCAATGCTAGATTTTGGTGTCAAATATAACGAAAAAATATATTTATTACATTTGTTTATCACAGAATATGATAAATTAATATAGAAAAATGTTTATTAAATATATTTTATATTTGACTTTCAGTTTTTTAAAAGTAACAATTTCCTAGTGATTTCTTTCTAAAATTTAATTAAAATTTTCTGAATATTTGTTTTTAATATTAATAAAATGTATGTTACTTATATAAAATAATGTTACATGGGGGACATAACAATTTTGGAACGGCTAATGTGGGGCATGGCACAAAAAAGGTTGGGAAACACTGATTAAAACAAATATAATGTATTATTTATAATTAAATAGCAATGTTTAGCTAGTAATAAATTAATTTCAAGTAAATCTCGTGTCAATCTATTGTATTAATTTCTTAAAAGTAGAAACATTATATTATGTATATATATAATACTTAGGCAGGTATCGAAACTTAATATTACTTATATTAAGTTGTAGGTACAACCCGTCCTGGATTTATAAATAGGCCATATAGGTCGCGGCCTAGGAGCGGTAGCGTCCTAGAGGCGGCAGCATCCTAGGGGCGGCAGCATCCTAAGGGCAGCAGATTTCCAGAGGATAAAAGTCAAACAATTAAATTAGAGAAAATTATTATTTTAGAAAGGTAGATATATACCTACATGGGGAGGCGGAAATAGACTGGCCTACATTTATCTATATACATATAAATAGAATTGGTCTGTTTGTAATATTGAAATATCCATTTTTTTACTACATGCACATGAATATAAATATGGTACATACACCAAAATTACATTTTTTCAAATTTTTGTCTGTCTGTCTGTCTATTTGTTCCGGCTAATCTCTGAAATGGCTGAACCGATTTTGACGGGACTTTCATTTGCAGGTAGTTGATGTAATAAGGAGTAACTTAGGTTACTTTTATTTTAGAAAAACTTTATTAAATTCCACTCGGACAAAATCGCTGCACCCAACTAATGAAAAATATAAATTCGGTACTGGGTACAACTTAACACAGGTTCTATTAAGTTTCTAAATAACTACCTAGCTATATGTATTATTATAAGGAATGCACAATCTAGTCAGATATGTATATGACTAAACAGAATTTATAATCTAGTTAGTCACACAGGTTGACTACAAACTACTTGTAAATAATAAACAAATCTCAATAAAGAGTATTTATTTATGACTTTTGATTTTTTTTTCCATGTTTTTTTTCGAACTACACTAATGCTCAGGCTGCAACTAGCCTGTACAGCTTTACGGAACGATAGGAAACGAGTGCTGACGAGTGACGACACTCTAAACTCGCGCATGGACTTATAGAGCAGCTGCAGGCAAACTCCTGCCTGACGGGTACGACTTTAGGCTGCGGGCCCTGCTAGGGATTTGAACCTCGGCTCAGGCCGTCGTAATTTCGATCCCCGTTTGAGTTGGACGGGGAATTGATCGAAAGCACATTTCTTCAATGTTTTAATATTTTATAAATGAGCTTTTCAACAATAAATTTTGACACAACCCTATCTATGTATATGTAACCACAGATAAGATAATATTGTATAGTATCTCTTGATCTAAGTTATACCGGATATGACATCCGGTATATCTTCGATCGTTTAGTTGTTTAGTCGATCGTTGTAAATTAGTATAATAAATAATACGCTAAAAAAATAGTAATAGAGGTATATACCTCAAACAACATTGTTTTCTATACTATGGGTGTTCCGAATATTTCAGTTAGTTATTATGGTGAATTGCTATAGAATGGCAGGCAGCTGTGTATAAATAAAAATAGTTTCTTTCAGTATATTGTTAAAAAATCAATAAAAAAAACAATATTTAGCAATACGTGACTTTAAAAAGGGGTTTAATTTATAATAATGCGATATGACTTATGTCTGACATGGACATTTTTTTTCTCAAATTATAAAATCTAAATCCTGAAATTATAAATATTAAAATACCTACTTAGTTATCTGTCAAATAGGTAACTTAAAGAATTTACTTTTTTTAACGTCAATAAAATCTTCATGCACCAGAAATGCTATATTTTTCCCACGCAATAAACAAAGTAATCGGGTACATATTAGGAATGTGAAATCGTAATCAATTATGTAAAAAACGTATTTTCCGATTGGTTTTAATATTCTGGAAAAACTAAGTAATTTATTCGATAGTTTTTATTTGATATTTTTGTCCAAGTGGACTAAATAAACGAGAATAATTGGTGACCTAAAACAAACAAGAAGCGGCCAATGGGCCTTAAAAATATTACGATTGTGGGAAAATAATCGATTATCTAATAAAAATCGATTTTTTTTATACAAAATGTCACATCCCTAGTACACTCTTGGGTACACGTAAAACTTATGCTACTTGTGTATTATTAAAAGAATTAATTAGATACCGACCTGTCCACATGTCCACTCACTTGTCTTACGAGTCCGTTACTCGAAACAAACCGGGTCATACACAATAAAAGGTTGCTACTGTGTCACTAGTGTGCTGTCATGCCAGATTGGAGGTTTATCCCCAAATTTGGGGGCATTTCTGTACGTTTGTATGGCTCTTTTCCCAATGGCAATTAGGGCCGGGTATTGTGCCGTGTTTTTAGCGTCTAAGTCCGGCAGAAAAACATAAAAACTTTCTGGCTAAAAGAATATAATATTATCTTATCTGTGATAAAAGTAATAAGAAATGTGGGCCAGGCGTTCAAAAAAGAAGGTCATTATTTAAACAAATTGATCGAAGTTTAAGAAAAAAGAAGTAGATCAAGCTATCTAAAAAAAGGTAATTAGTATCGGGAACTGATCGAAGTATCATATAAAATTGCCGTTGTCTTTATAAACGAACAAAAAAACGTCATCAAAACATAGACTTCTCTGAGGAAATTCATCCCCTACTACCTATCAAGGCGCAGGCGAGATTGCAGTATCAGGTTATATTCGTCTATAAAAAAAAATTTGAAGACTGTAAGTAAAAAAAAATATAAAATCTATAAATAAACATTTGTAGGCAGGGTTTTGTTTTAATCTTACTAATATTATAAATGCAAAATTTTGTGAGTTTGGATGGATGTTTGTTATTCTTTTACGCAAAAACTACTCAACGGATTTTGATGAAACTTTA